GATCCTACTGCCTCAGCGTCCCGAGTAGCTGGGACTACAGGCATGTGCCACCATGCCCAGCTAATTTTTTCTACATATATTTTTAGCTGTCCAATTAATTTCTTTCCATTTCTTGGTAGAGGCAGGGTCTTGCTCTTGCTCAGGCTGGTCTCGAACTCCTGAGCTCAGAACGATCCTCCCGCCTCAGCCTCCCAGAGTGCTAGGATTACAGGCGTGAGCCACTGCGCCCGGCCCCTGAAAATGAAATTTAAAAGACAATTTTATTTACAGTGGTGTTAAGAAGAATAAAATACATAGTAATAAATATAACAAAAGAAGTCTAAGAACTTATACACCAAAAACTACAAAACATTGACAGAAATTAAGGGAGACTTAAATAAATGGAAAGATATTTTATGTTCATGGATTGGAAGACTTCATATTGTTAAGATGGCCGTACTCCCCAAGTTAATCTAAACATTCAGTGCAGTCCCTATCAAAATCCCAGCTGCCTTTTTTTTTTTTTTTTTTTTACAGAACTTGACACACTGATCCTAAAATTCTTGGGAGAATGTAAGAAACTGAGAATAACCAAAGCAATCTTGAAAAAGGAGAACGATGTTGAAGGACTAACACTTCACAATTTCAAAACTTACTACAAAGTTTTAATAGAACAGTATGGTACTGGCAAAGGAATAGACATCTAGAGCAACAAATTAGAATTGAGAGTCTGAAAAAAAACCCTTATGTTTTTAGTTGATTTCAACAAGGATGCTGAGACAGTTCAATGGAGGAAAGAATAGTGTTTTCAACAAATGACGCTGGGACACTGGGTCTCTAATGTGAAAGAAAGGAGTAGGACCCTTCTCAGCCCATATACAGAAATTCCCTGAAGAGGGGTCATAGACCCAAGCGTAAATGTCAGCCCTGTACTATGAAACCCTTAGAAGAAAATAGAATAAATCTTCGTGAGCTTGGATCAGGCAGTGGTTTCCTAGGTATGACACCAGAAGCACAAATAGCAAAAGAAAAAAGCAGGCAAATTGGACTTCCTTAAAATTTAAAACTTTAAGCTAAGCGCGGTGGCTCCCACCTGTAACCCAGCACTTTGGGAGGCTGAGGCAGGAGGGTCACTTGAGGTGAAGAGTTAAAGACCAGCATGGGCAACATAGTAAGACCTTGTCACTACAAAAAAATTTTTTAACTTTTGCAGCTCAAAGGACACCATTAAGAAAGTGAACAGACAGCCTACGAAATGGGAGAAAATATGTGCAAATCATACATCTGATAAGGGACTTGCATCCAGATTATATGAGGAACTCTTACAACTCAACAATAAAAAGACAACCCAATTTAAAAGTGGGCAAAGGATTTGAATAGACATTTTTCCAAAGAAGATAGCTAATGGCCAATAAGGACATGAAAGATACTCAGCATCATTAGGGAAATGCGAATCAAAACCACCAGGAGTTCAAAGACCAGTGTTAGGCTAAAAAGAAAAAAAGAAAAAAAAACCACCAGGAGATAATGCTTTATACCCACTAGAATGGCTAAAATAAAAAAGACAGAAAATTTTGGGGAGAATGTGGACAAATTCGAATCTTCATATGTTACTGGTGGGAATGTAAGATGGCACAGCCACTTTAGAAAACAGTTTGGCTATTTTCAAAAAGTTAAGCATAAAGCTGGGCGCAGTGGCTGACGCCTGTAATCCTAGCACTCTGGGAGGCCGAGGCGGGCAGATTGTTTGAGCTCAGGAGTTCGAGACTAGCCTGAGTAAGAGCGAGACCCCATCTCTACTAAAAATAGAAAGAAATTAATCGGACAACTAAAAATATATA